GTTCTTGAGATTCATAATTGAACTGGATCTCCATGAGCTGCAACTGGACGCTTGACACCTCAGGGTGCAACCGGAGAATTACCATTTCCTCAGTAAGCTCTTCTTGTCCAGGTAGGGGTCTGACACCTGGAGGTCATTGGGCACCACTGGGCTTGGAGAGGAACCATCGCAGTGACTGGAGATATAATTTCTGACACTAGACCACCAAAAACATCCTCTAAATATAAAAGAAGTAAAAGGAGAACTCAAACTCTCATTTATTTTCAAAATGCTTTTCTCTTAGAATTTATTAAGCTCCCTCTCATCATCCAGGAATCAGGCATTACCCCTCTTGGGCATATAATCTCCATTCCAAGTCTAGAGATCTTCAAATATCTTTGGGGGTTCATGCTACCAAAATAATGACATAGCTGGAAAAAGAAGGCAGGGGAGGGAATCTGAGAATTCTGTCTTTGCGGTTAACCCTGTGTTATTCGCTTCCCTTCCTATATACCAAAACGACACTGCGGATCCATCATCACCACCTGGCTCCCCTCCCTCCCTTCTACTCGCTCTCACACTGTTAGGTGGCTGTTTCCCAGCACGACCGGCGGGTTCGCGTGGATGCAGCCACGCTCCTGATTCCACCCGCTCCCAAAGTTTCTGGTGTTCACACAGGTGAACCCAAGGCCCAGCAAGGGCTGACCGGGTACCAGCCACACACGAGGGTCATAAACCGACGAGCTCGCCATTCCCAGGAGGCCTTTTCTCTCCATGCCTTCGAGAAACCGCACGCGATGCCCTGGCAGCGCTGCGAGGCCGCTAGGGAGGCGAGATCACCCGCGCTCCTCCGCCTGCCGGGAGCCAACATCCCCCGTACCTCGACATGTTTGTTCTCCAGGGTTCTGTCAAAGCCTCACNAGTTCTGTTGTACAGGATGCACTATACCTTACACCAGAGGACAACAAGCAGTATTGTCTTCTCCATAGCCAGAATACATGGGTATAGGATCCAAGGTTGGAAAAATAGTAAGAATGTCTCCTTTTACTACATACCTAATAATCCACTTATATTACTTTTGCTTCCTATCCCCATGGTCTTGGGCTTGGTGGGTTTGGGGTTCTGGTTCTCAGAGGAAAAATACTCCCACCATGAAATAAAGTCATGATTTTGTTAAATTTGAAGCTGAGACTGCCTCCTAGCCATCTTGGGCTCCTTATGCTGCTGAATCAACAGGCAGAGAAGGGGTCACTCTACTGGCCAGGATGACTGATACTAATGATCAATGAAGAATTGATTGCTGCTTCATTATAGGGGCAAAGAAGAATATGTCTGGAACTCAGAAGACTAGTGTGCCTCTTAGATCTCTATGTCTAATAGGCCGAGTCAACGGTACAATGAAGTAACCTGAAAAAGATAGGATGATCAAGGGCTCAAATCATCCAGGAAAGGTTTATGTTGCTTAACTAGGTAAAAAACTCTGTGACACTGAGGTTCTGGTAGAGGGTATGAGCAATATGGAATGGGTGATGGAAGATAGTTACGATTATCAGCTTAGGCTTTGTAAACAGCAAAAACTAACAGTTATATTTTGTTAATTACGTCTTTTCGTCCTTTTATTTACTACCTTATATGAAGAATACTGGTGGTATTGAAGTTTTAGGTTTCAGATGGGAGTATGATTTAATTATATGTCAACTTACGATGAAATGGTAGCTTAAGAGACTTTGTTTTCCTGCTGTGTTGGGCACA